TTGCACAATAGTATCTAGAATGTTTAGGAAGTTAATATTTTATTGCTTTAATATGTTTTCTAGGTAGATTAGACTTAGTCATAGTTAGGATCTATAAATAGGGATGTTCCATCATTGTTTTAAGATGTCTTGGATGAGTTGAATAGAAAAGAACGTTTATTCGAAACCGTGTGTTAGAGTCGTGAGATTCGATCATGCAATCGAATTGGTGAGGCTAAGACCCAAGCCAATTCAACGATTTAAAGAGGCTAAGACCCGATCTATTTCGAGAGTGTAGCGAGGCTAATACCCGAGTGAACTCAAGTATTGTGAGAGAGTTAGGCTAATAACCGAGTCGATCACACCTTTCGTCGACAGCAAGGCCGTGGCGAAGCCGTGATCGAGACAAGTCGAGGGAACGCAACACCCGATCCTTCATCAGCTATGCGTGACGCCCGACTGGGTATGCACGCACGCTGTCCGCCCGCCATGGGACTGGCTGCCGGCACGCTGCTGCCGCTGTGTGCGGGCAGTGCGACCACGACCGGCCCTTGCTGGCCGTCCGGCGATTTCCTTCGACCATTGCAACATGAACTAACATAATTTGAGATAACATGATCGAAACCAAATAATTACATGGAAAATACATAAGAAAGACATTGACATGGTTCGGAAAAAGCTTGTAGCGTGCGCGTAGGCGCGACCCGACGCTACGGACGATATGCTCGGCCACTTGACAAATTCCTCCGACCGTTATCACATGAATCGCCATAACTTAACATAACATGACTAATCACACATATAACGGTCGAGTGAACATGAACATAACTTGCTGAACCGAACATAGCCGCGGCTTGCGCTACGTGCGTAGCCGACGGCTTTGAACAATCCTTCAACCAAACAACACTTTCCCTCGACAATTACCATATGATTGAACATAATCTGTATAACAATGACTAAAGGAACGTAATTTGCTCGGGAGTTGTCGAATAAAACGATCGGGGACTTAGCGTGAACATACTAATATCAGAATAACATCAGGAAGGAATTACCTCCTCAATTGCTCGAAGAAACTAAAAAGTTTTGCTTGAAGGCGTGCGTGATCTTCCGTGTCCTTGCGTGCGTGCGAGTTCTTCTTCCGTGCGTTACTTAAGCTTAATTATAGGATAAATTATCTTAACTTTTGCTGAGTACTTGATTTAAGCGTAAGGTAAAATTTACCCCAACACTTAATATAAATGGACGGACGGACTAGTGAAGAAGGGAGAAAATAACTTTGGCCAATCATCTTGCGCCACTTGCCGAGTAACTAGAGCCTTAGGTGTAACTTTGCTTGCTTAGTCATCACTTAAAAGAGCTTCATGCCTCCACATATGCTAAGTAATGATGATAGAAGAAGAATTGACCGTGTCTCACATGACCTTCGGCCATTAGGAAGCTAAGCACGACATTTGACCTTAAGCAAGCATGATTGAATTTAGCTAAACACCATTACTTATTGAGTTAAGGGCGTGCGCAATGGACACATGTTTAGGCCGTGCTAAGCATCAATTGCGTGCAATAATGTTAACTTAGCATATAATTGAACATTTAGAAATTATTCCGAGCATAGACGTGAATTCGAAAATTAATTCGAACATTCTTGACTTGAATAATTAGTTCCGAACGATAATGATCGATAAAATAAATATTTCGGAACTAAACACATAATTTACATTAATAACATAAAGGGGCTATTACAACTGTCCTTCGACATGTTTTGGTTACAAAATAGTTTAGAAAAATTTTAGGTGAATTCAAATTTTTTTAAGAGTAATATTTAATATTTTACATAGTCTTATATATCTTATATAATATTTTAGGTGATATTAATATTTTAAACATCCATGTTTTATGTTATCTAAGACAAAATAATTTTATATTGTAAATTATATCATATGTTAACCCCACTTCTTTAATTTATAATTATTATTCAATATTGTTTACTCACTCATAATTATGAAATTTTGTATGTTGAAGAATTCTTTTGACTAAATAATTCATAAACATATGCATGATAAAAAAATTGTCCTCTTTAAATTTTTTAAATAAATAACAAAAATCTCTATAGTAAACAAAATGATATTTATAAATTAGAGAAAACACTTTCGTTGGGGCATTATCTATTTACAATAATGAAATAAAATATATTTATTTCAAGAATCAGAAAATAGTATTTTCTCTTACATTTAGAAACTACATTTACAACTAAATCAGTAAATTGTTCCTCTTTATTCTTTTAATGTAATAACCAAAATATCTATAGTAAATAATTTGATATTTATAAATTAGAGAAGATACATTCGTTGGTGAATTATATATTTTACACTTATGAAATAAAAAATATATATTTTTCTTAAAAACCATAAAACAGTATTTTTTCTTACATTTAAAGTAACCATACCAAACCTCACATCATATGTAGAATAATATTGAACAATATAATTAAGAATTAATTATTTATTTATTATCTATAATTTGCGTAGATAATCGTTTTTGTATGTGTGAAAAATTAAGGTATAACAATGTATAAGAAAAATAATGAATTAGAAGTAAATTTAGAAATGGAGATCTAAAAACTTAACTATTGTAAGTTGTAACTTTAAGGTAAAAGATAGTTATAGATATAGGTAAAAGATAATCTTTGGGTGTTTTTGGCAATTCAAAAGTATCAAGAAACTACTCTTCCTTTTAAGGTAAAAGATAGTTATAGATACAGGTATGTTGTTTTTCTGCTCATCAGGCATTCTGTTCCTTTGTCTTCCTCTTCCAGGTTTACTTTTGTGGAGAAGTTTTTACTCTGGAAAGTATTTCCCACCTGTTGCTTGAGATGGATTATTCATTTTGCCGTGGTTAAATGCTCTCCAGATAGTTCTTCACTGAAATCTTATGATTCTCGTAGTCTCTCCGACACTGTTCATCATCTTGTGGTATCATGGTCTAGGAAAGAGTTCGTGCAATCATCTCCGACCGAGCAGCAAGCTTGTATCCTCAATATTTAACTACCACTGTTAGTAAAAAAGATAATATTTTGGTTCACCACTGTTAAACAAGAAAAAAAATGTTTGTATCTTGCTTTTTGAAAGGAACTTTATAAGATTACCACTCTATATCTGCCTTATGACTCCAATAAATATATTGCTTATATTGTATTGAATTTTGTAATTTTCTTAATGCTAATATATTTACCACAGCTACACCTTAACTAGGATTCAGATGTAACTGCTGCTTTAGGCCTTTGCCTTGAGAAGATGACTAAAACTGATCTTGATGCTACAAAGGATGGACTGCACTCAATTCTTCAGGGCATTAGTTGTAAGATTTTGGTTCTTTCTTCTTATTTGAAAAGTATCTCATTCATTTATCTAAAATTATTAATCTTTACATTATTTTTAAACTGCTGGCAGGTAGGTTGGAGAGCCCTGTTTATCTGATACGTAAAATGGCAAGTGCTATTGCTTTTGTATTCTCTAGGATTATAGACCCTCAAAACCCTTTGTATCTTGATGATAGTTCTCGGGAAGAGACCACTGACTGGGACTTCGGGTTGGCCATCCCCAGAGAACTTTCTGTTACAGAAACAGTCTGTAATGATGAAAAGACAATCCATGGAGAGAAGTGTTCAACCATAATGTCAAAAGAAGAAACAAGGGGTGCAAATAATGGGTTGAATGATTCTTCAAAAGTTAAAAAGAAGAAGGAATCCATTATTAACTTAATCGACCCGGATGAAGTTGTTGATCCAGCATCATTAAATGATGATTTGAACTTTGGTGAAGATGACAATGACAATGCAAGTGAGGACTCTGAGGATTCATATGACTCAAGTTTGCAACCTTATGACTTGGCAGATGATGATGCTGATCTGAAAAGAAATTTTACGCAGTTGGTCGATGTGGTTGCAGCACTGAGAAAATCAGATGATGCTGATGGTGTAAGTATGATATGCTTATTGTTGTGCATATTATTGTCTGTACAGCAGTTCTCGAGCAAATCTATACTGATATTTGAAGCTATTGAACCTAACATGCGGCTTTTGGTTAATTAACTGCCTTTATTTGTACGATAATTGTCTCTGGTTACCAATTTATTTGTTCTGTCATCAAAGCTTACTCACTGGTAGCATCTCAAGAGTAATTTATTTATTGAAAATGTTAAAGGGCATTGACTTTTTTTTTTCTTTCTTTTTTCCTTTCACTTTTTTTTAACAAAATGGAGGTATAAAGTTGCAGGGCATTTAAATCAGATATTGGGCTTTATTTTCTTTCTTAAAATCATACGATCAAGATGTGTCATTTTCTGAAGAGCATTTTCTTATTGTTTTCTTTTCTTTTTTGCCAGGTTGAAAAGGCCCTTGATGTTGTGGAGAAGCTTATTCGAGCATCACCAGATGAACTTAAGTATATAGCAGGTGAATTAGCAAAAGTTCTCGTTCAGGTCCGATGCTCAGACTTCACCGTGGAAGGGGAAGAAGAATCGGCTGAAGAGAAAAGACAAAAGGCTTTGGTGGCACTGATTGTTACATGCCCTCTTGAGTCCCTCGACAGCTTGAGTAAACTGCTCTACTCCCCCAATGTAGACATCAGCCAGAGGATCATGATTTTGGATGTGATGTCAGATGCAGCTCAGGAGCTTGCAAGTGCTAGAGTAGTACTGAAAGCAGAACATAAACGACCAGTGGCTCTCATATCGTCCACCGAAGGTCAACCATGGTTTGTGCCTAGAAACACCGGCCAACCAGGATCAGGGCCCTGGAAAGAGATCTCACCAACAGGAGGAGCATCTCCCTTGAACTGGTCTTACTCTTATGAAAGAGAATTACCGGCCAAAGTCAGTAACAAGAGGATAAGTAGGGGAAAGACAAGACGGTGGAGCCTTCAGTTGGGGGTACAGGATAATCAGATGGAATCATCACAGAATATGTTTCCCCCATATGCAGCGGCATTTATGCTTCCGGCTATGCAAGGATATGACACAAAGAAACACGGTGTGGATTTACTGGGAAGAGATTTTGTTGTCCTGGGAAAACTCATCCACATGCTTGGTGTTTGTATGAAATGTTCGGCTATGCATCCTGAGGCTTCTGTTCTGGCGTCCCCTCTATTGGATATGCTGAGAACTAGGTACTGTTAATTTTTAACTGCCTTGAACTGGCTATGGGTCATTGAATATTCCTTGTATATTTGAAGAGTAAATTGCATAACTTGTGTTATGCTGTATGAGGATTACATTATGTTAAGATGGATCCTAATTCTTTTTAATTTTCTTTTGGTTTTTGTTTCTTCAAATTTTAAGGATTTTCAGTTTTTAAGGGTCATATAGTTTGTTGAGATTTCCAGTTTGCCTTTAGGGTTACCGTCTAAAACATGAGTGTACCTCGTTTTTATCAAATTCTTGCCTTAAGCCGTTGACTGGATTCTTATTATATTGTACAGGGAAATATCTCAACATGCAGAAGCATATGTGAGAAGGTCCGTCCTTTTTTCGGCTTCGTGTGTTCTATTGGCACTTCATCCATCGTATGTTGCATCCGCGGTGGTTGAGGGAAATATTGAAATATCTGAAGGGCTCGATTGGGTTCGCACATGGGCACTGAAGGTGACTGAGTCAGACACAGACAGAGAATGTCACAGGGTATGCAAAGTTGCTATAACTCTAAAACTAGAATTTTAATTATCCTAATTCCTCTTTGTTCATGATGCTGGTCTTTATACTGTACCGATTTTGTTTGTTAAGTTTCACTATGCACAGTTTGCCATTAAACTAATTGAAAACAGAACTGAGTTTGACATGGCTAAGGTTTCGGTAAATAGTTGCGGTTCACTAAAACTTGGCTGCTTTGTACAGTTTAAGCTTCTTGTTTACACGCCATATTTTTTCTCCAAACTTTTGGTCCATCCCCAAAAGCTAGCCTAAAAGGAGAGGGTGCCCAATCCACATTTATACACAATAATCTAGTAAGAAATCAATGTGGGACAAACATAAGTTTAAACAGTAATATAGTACTGAGTCTTGACAAATACTGATCTAGTTGAACTTTATGGAATCTTGACTGTGTTCATGAAGGTGAACATTTCTGGTTTTTAAGAAATCAATTTCTTATACTAAATAAACATGTTGAATGCTGATTGAATATAAATGACCCCACCCTACGCAAGGCTTTAACATGTTTATACTAAATAAACATGTTGAATTACTGCCTTACATATGGATAGAGCCTTATCCGGTTTTACAAAAGTTTCTAAATAGTTGGGTTAGTGACAAATCGAGTATTGACCCAATTACAGAAATGAGGAATCCCCTGCTAGCTTTCAGAATTGCAAAAGTTACCCTGACATTTGATTGTCTTTCATTTTTACCCTTGCATGATCAAATATCAATCCGTAGCCATTCTATTTACTAGAAAAACCATTAGCCTCTTAACACTTGCACTAAATCGAATTCATGTTAGTTTTTCATATCTCTTCTCTCGTGTAACTTTTATTTATATTTACTGGTGCTTTACGATTTATGGTGTAGCTGGCCATGGCATGTCTCCAGCTCCATGCAGAAATGGCTCTGCAAGCTTCTCGGGCACTTGAGGGGTCTAAAGATACGCCAACTGCAAAGAGCATTAATCTGTTCCCAGCTGTACCGAGTAGATCAATTAAGATCCCCTACTTGAATTCGTAAATTTTCTTTATGTCAATAGATGTTCCTTGTGTACTCCTTTTGATGTACAGAGAGTTGATGTATGCAGAACTTTTTTTTTTTTTT